GCCGCCCCCCCCCCCCTCTGGAGGTGGACGAGGAAGGGCGGGCCATCTGCCAAAGAGGGGAGTGCGCGTCGGGGTGAATGGATGACGTCGGGAGGCTGGCGCCAGCATGTCTGGGACTGGCGCGTTAGATCAACACAGCTGGGCCGGGATAGGACACACAGCTGGCTCAGGCCTGCATTCCTCCACAAAACAGGATTGTGAGAAAAGGAGAAAATAAGGCCCAAATAGGAGCAGAACGGGACGTGCCTTGATGTGAATCGTTGAAATATACATTTCATGAAACATTTTCACTCAGACCACATTAGATTTTGGCAGGAAGTGACTTGACAGCTGAACTGCGCCATTAATATTCTAAGAGTTAGAGACAAGCAGTGGTGATCAGTGCGTTAGTCTGACTGATCAATACAATATGTTTGTGGTAATTTGATCATTCATGTTGAAATAACCTAGCCATCCACTATTTGACAAAAACTGATTCAACATTTTGCTTTTTGTATGTGCATGTTTTGGAGTAGTGTGTCCTACAGTAGGCACGTACACACTGCTGTGGAAGGTGAAACTATAAGATTAAACAAATGTTGGCCTTGTATTGGAAGAAATTGTTTTTGAGAACTTGACGCAGAGACACAATCAGACCTCGTTATGTGTATACATGAACCAAAAATAACATTTTCTATAATGAAACATCTTAATCAGAATCTCTGTTTGGTATGACTTGTACTTTATTAAGGTCCAGAACTATTTATAAAAGTTAGTGGAATAGAAACTAGTAACAATTTGTGGTCTGTAGTCATTATGCCCTTACTAGTTGTAAATGAAAACTACTTTCGTTCGCTGCTTGCAGTGTGCCCTGCTGTGAATGCATTTGCAATAAATAAAACCACCTGATAAAAGGTAACTAATCGCCTGGCAAACCCCATCAGGCATCCCAGACTAATTTCCTCATTCTTTCCAACCCTCCACAGGGTGACATCGGCCAATCAGAATGGACTTGCGCTTTACACTGGCCAATCAGAGCACGATGCGAGAAGGGGGGCGTCATCAGGCACGCGGTGTATAAAAACCTAAACTGTAGGTCGCTGTCACAGAATTGTAGCTTTTCAGGATAGTGATAGAAAAGTCGCAGTTAAGAGGAAATCATCACCAACTGTAGTCACGGATCAAACTTAGCTCTCGTTGTGGTTGTTTCGCTTCTGGTTTCATCATGAAAGCCATCAGTCCCGTCCGCTCGGCGAGGAGCTGCTACAAGGCAGTGTGCTGTATCTCGGAGCAGAGTCTCGCCATTAGCCGGAATAAACACTCGTGTCTGGAGGAGCCGGTGAGCGCCCTGTGCGACATGAACGACTGCTACTCCAAGCTGAAAGAGCTGGTGCCGAGCATCCCGCAGAACAAGTCGGTCAGCCAGGTGGAGATCCTGCAACATGTTATTGACTACATCTTCGACCTGCAGATCGCGCTGGAGGCGGACGACACAGCCACACCGGAGATGGTTTTGTCAATAAAGGTGAGGTCAGAGGCTGACGCTTGTTCCTCAACGTCCCCAGACACTGACATTACCTAACAGCAATTACTCTGTTGCACTTTGCAGAGCAGGTCTCTGGGTTGACCTGAATTTGACATTTCAAAACCGTGTTCTGTAGCTTTTGTAAAGTTCTTTTTTGCCACTTGCGACTTCAAGAAACAGAATGCATCTCCGTTTCCATGTATGCACTGATATCCTGTTTTTGATTATTGTGATGCAGCAGATCCTGTTTTGTGATAGGCTTATGTAATGTCGGAAAGCATGTTATTTCTAACAAACGCATATGCCATTGGAGTAATTGTCTTGCCAGGGTCTAAGAGCGCATCTCTCCTATTTGCTCTCCATTCAGACTGCGGACCTTACTCGCAATTTCTCCAAAGAGGAAGGACGATTGTGCCACTAAGCTGAGAATGACAAATTATGGTACGTATTTATTTTGATTGTCTTCATACTTTAATACATTCTCAAGACAAATGTACTTGGGATGTTAGATTTACAACGGTGTTTTGTTTTGACTTACAAAAAAAATCTTTTAACTGTGTAAACATTGATTCACTGGGATAAGAAAGTCTCCTTGCCCTTTACATTCACCAGGGATGCCAGTTAGACAGGCCAGTAATGTGTAGCGGATTCATTGCTATCTGCCTGGGGTTAATGAAAGTTCCATGCTAGGCGCCAGTCTGTCTGCTCCCCTGTGCAGGGAGGGAGGGAGGGTGAGAGGGGGAGATCTGACTTCACTTTTCTTCCTTTCTCTCCACGCAGGTGCAGGGAAACACATGTCTCCACTTCACTCTGGGCAAGAGGACAAGAGGGGCAGAAAGGGTGGGATAGGTATTTGGTAAAAGAAGGAGACCAAGAAGAGTTTAAAGAAAGAAAGGACAGAAAAAAGTGGACTGTTTCCTAGATGAGTGGAATCAACAGTAGTGCATGAGCAAGAAAACAGAGACTCATTCTTTGGCCCCTGGACAGATGAATCAACACACCAAAGCAGAAGCCAGGATTGGAAAGTGAAAGCAAACAGTTTATGTGCCCTTGTGAACATACCCGGGATTCCCTGTAGAAAGAAATAGAAATACTGGTACATTGTTCTTTTGTTTTCTTTTCTTTAAAAAAATTTATTTTGAATTTTTTGAATTCCAAACAATGTTTTTGTGGGTTAAACTCATACCAAACCTGAACCCTTTCTACATCATCTCCTGCATTATTCATCCCCTGATCTGTTTTCTAATCACCTGGAGACTGTTACGGTTTTAAATAAGAGTGTATATATATATCTGCTGTGGTTATGTGAGGTTTGAGTCTATTTGGATGTTTGTATTGTTTTCTGAATGGGAGCTTGGGTTTTATTAGGCATAATCAGAACTCTATAATAGAGTTAATTTTAAATGTTTGTAGGGATTGTACTATTTCTGCAGACAATGTGCTATGGGTTTCATAAACTCTTTATTATAAAGTTTGCTTTGTATGTATGTAATGAAATAAAAAAAGATGCAAAACCTATTTGGCTGGCATGGTATGTTTGAAATGAACTGTTCAGTGAGTTGTGCTGTGCTCGTCAGAAGATAGGAGTGATGCTGACATAACTTTTTAGCTTTGGATGACAATGAAATGCTGATACAACAGGATGTATTTAGATTAATCTTGAGGTTGAGTGGTTGGAAATCAAACGAAGGGAGTTTCCTGTGAGAACTTCTATTTTTCCAAAGAATGAACTATCAGCAGCTGAACTTCCTAAATGATGTAGAAGAGAGGATGTTGCGTGATCATAAGCCAACAAACCAACGATTGCGGTGATTTGTGAATCTTAAAAGCTGTAATTACCAAATTCATATCAATATTCATGTGTAGAAATCTATTGTCCCAGCTTTGGAAGCAGAAAACCATCACGTTCATGCAAATCTACCTGTAAAAACACCTTCTCCCCTTCCTTTATAGGCCTAATATTTATAGGAGTGTATATTGAAAATTCAGTCATGGGATCATATATTAATTGAGACCCACTATAAGGATACTATTTAATGATATGTGATCTTTTGTGGAGATAAATGATACTGTACTAAAATCTGGAACAAACTACCCCATCTTGTGGATTTGTCTGGAATTTCAGGTATTACATGTTGACACATAGTACCACCAACTCATCTAATAAATCAGGCAACAACAAAGAAAGATATTGTTTTGTTTTTAGTGCTTATCTTATTATTTGCAGCATTACCAAAGAGAAAACGAGAGAACAAACAAAACAACCAGAATCTCCAACATGATAAATTATTGAATAAGGTGACCTAGTGTACTTATAATAGTGAGGTTGCATCGCCATCTAGTGGTAACAGGGGGTGCGAACATGATAGCATACTGCTCTGCAATCATCAATCCACTACCTATGTGAACTTCATGGTTTTATTATTATGCTTTATTTCCAGTAAAGACTCTTAAATATTAAACTGGTAATTTCAGGGGTGTAGCTAGATAAGTTGTACAGGATTGACATTATACTGTATAATGTCATTGGCCCTCATCCCAAGCATCCACATGAGGGGATGAGATACTATCTTTATATGTATTATACCAACAACAGCCTAAAAATAAGCACAGAGTAGAATAAACACCTCATCGTTATTGTCTCAATGATAAAATGCATGACTTTTACAAAGGCAGTTGCTGTAGACCACATTAGACACTTATTTATGATATGTTTATCTACTTAATGTGTTTTGTTGCAATGTACAGATAATTTGGTATCTTGAAAAAACAGCAGCACTATCTTTTTTTAATCAAAAGGAACAGTAAGGACACAAACCAGTAGCAATGGTTGAGGCCAAAGTAAGGCAGAGGAGCTCCTAGTCCGCACCACAAGATGGGAGTGTTGGATGAGAACAAAACAACAACATGTCCTCCTGACATCCCTTTGGTGAGCCTCCAGTACTAAACTTTAAACACACAAGTAACTGTTACTTGTCACTTATTACATGATATTGACTTTGCACTATTGAACTCCTCTGTTGATGATTTTTCAGTTTAGAAAAGTGTTTGATGGAAAAACAATTATATAAAAATGGTATTGTAGCTTTATTAATTGATTTATATTTTGTCTCCAAAGTCACGATGAACAGTCAGGTAAAGTTTCTTTGTAGCTCAGTCTCATTGTGCTTTACAAGTCTTTCCGTGTGGAGATTGTGTGTTCTCTGTGCCTGTGTGGGTTCTTTCTGGGTACTTCAGATTCCTCTGACAGTCCAAAGACATGCAGCTTAGGTTGACTGGTGATTCTGAATTGCCTGTAGAAGTGACTGTGTGTGGTTGTTTGTCTCTAAGTGTCAGCCCTGTGAAAGATTGGCAACCTGTCCAGGGTGGACCCTGCCTCTTGCCCAATGTCAGCTGGGATTGGCGCCAGCCCCCTGTGACCCTCTTCAGAATAAGCAGTATAGGTAATAGATGGATAGATGGACAATGCTGAAGTAATTCAGATCAGGGAAATATGCAGATGCTTTGAAAAAATGGATTACAGAATCTGAGCCAATTATGAATCTGAATTGTCACGATTCTGGATTATACAACATCACTAATGCTGCATTTTGTATGAAAGAGGAAGAGGGTGGAGATGATTTAAGTTACACAATGTGGAGATCATTATGAAAATTCTGTTTTTTCTTCTAGCCTCTAACATCTGTTTAATGTTGCAGTATCATGTAATCTACAAAGACAATTTCATCACCAACTGACACTAAAGAATAATCTGATCCAGTGTAAGAAGCAGCCAACTGTGCCATTGTTTCTCCCCACACCTTATTCCCTTAAACTTGTTAGGCACTACCCTAAATGAACAAGGCATAATATTAGGTCTTTATTATTTAACTTAGATTTAAAGTATAATCTATATCAATAGTCTTGTAATAATGTCTTCTTTGTCTTGGGTCAAGTCATATGGCACAGACCTGGAAGATGTAGGGGGAGGGGTTGTTTTCTTTCAATATCTCCTCTGAGCCAATAAGAAAGAGTGCTACTGAATGAATCCATTTATCATCTACAAATTGTGCACCAGGCCACAATACACTTTCATCAAGGGAAACAGTGTTTCCCATGTAAACAATGAAACTCTTTTCTTACTATGAAAAGATGTCCCATGGAAGTAATTTCTACATATTAGTTAGATTTATCTAGGCCCACATTTAATCATTTGAACCATGTGGTTCTCAGCATTTCCCTTAAATTTCTTGATAAATCCATTTTCCACTATGCGCTGTATCTGACTGGTCCACGTCTTCACAGTGAGTAGCCCTAAATCATTAATACACTTTATTATGAATATTAAGGCAAACAATCAAATATCAGAGTGTAATTTGTGGATACACCATCACATCGAATAGCACATGTCTGTTTTGAACATAAACAGGAAATTCAGTTTTTTAAATAATATTCCTGCAATTATTCATTTCTGAAATTCGTGACCATGTCAAAAATTTATATTTTACAATCTGTTAATATAAACAACATGCCTCCTCAACAACATGGTTTGAGAGCAGGCAAGGCACTTGAAGCATAGTGCACTGTAAGTTGTTGCTTTTTTGTGACCTGCAATAGACACACTACGTTTGGTAACATCAAAATTACAACTCACCAGTTATAGGTCTGATATAAAAAAACATTCTATATAAACTCTTTCATATTCAAAATAATAAGTTATTGTCTCCAACTCCACTGTAGCAGTCTAGAAATTATGTTACTGTCCCTTTAAGAAGACCAGCCCCATCCGTACACAACTGTTTTATGCTAATATGACAAGCCGAACGTGCCGTGAACCAATCAGAGACGAGTTCTAACCGCGGGAGATCTGAATTTCGCGGGACGACGTTTGGCGCTAAAAAGTACGCTGTTCTACCCCAGTTTGTGCCTGTTTGTGTGGAGAGCGGAGCTCCGCGGTGGACGCACGCAAGTCACAATCCGGTTCATGATTCCGCATCGGAGGGGCTCACAGTAGGTTGTAAATCTCCACAGCTGAAACCCGATTTCAGCGAAACCCGGGAGCCTTGTTGTATTGGACTTTAAAATACTAAAGTTTAAAAAGTTATTTATTTAATCAGGCAGCGGCAGTTGGAAGCCAAGTTTCCGCTGCACTTTGTTACGGGACAAAGGTAACCACCGACCAGGTTGCTGTATTTACAGGCGAAGTTTGTTAGAAAATACGCCTAGATCGCATGTTTGGCTGATGCATTTTACTTTTAAAAGACCTATTTCAGATGCACGAGTTGCTGTTGGCTCCTTTGTTGTTATAGTTGCAGGATATAATAAGTTTGCAGCAGCCGCAGCTTAACAATAGCAGGGAAGCATTTAGCAGGGCATTGATCGGTGTGTGCTTTAGCTAACCACACACTTCTCCCTTCGCTTGACCGATCTGGTTAAACTTAGTTTACTCAGGAACATGATGCGGATGCCTAAAGGCGTCTCTCCGGCATCGGGTCGGCCAACAGCGGGACTGTCTGGCTCTCAGCAGAAGATGGTGTTGCCCGCAGCAGTGAAGACCGAGTTCTTCAGCACCGGACTGTCCAGCCCACCGATGAGCACGATACCAACCGGCTATTTCACCCAGATCTGCAACACCGCCGCGGCCGAACAAAGAGCCAACAGCCTGTATTCAACCCCCCACGGACCAGATGCAGAACCCATCAGATCGTCCTCCGGGCGACTGCCGGTATAAAATCAAGCACACACTACAAGTAATTCAGAGTTCAGCACAGTGAGTTATGTGTCTCTGTGTGGGAGGAATAATAGCCGATTTCCATCGTTATGCATTTTTAGCAGCGTGTGGGTCACATTCAAGTATGTTTTGACGGGATAAGCCACAGAGGAGCCACTGAGTGTGCTGCTGGATGTGTTTGAATGGTGTGTTCCCCTTTTTCTGTCATGTTAAGTTGTGTGACATCTTCTCCCGCAGCCCAGCTGTAGCTAGACACGGACAGACGCTGAATGTGTTTGAAAAGGTTTTGTGAAAAGGAAGGCTGAGTGGCCCCCGCAGTGGGAGACAGCAGGGGTAGCTTTTGCTATGGAATCACCAGGCTGATGAAGGCACAAATGTAATTTCTGTTCTGATCTATTAACCTTTTTTGGGGGGAGCGAAATACAAGCCCCAGTTTTACAAGACTGCTCCAGAGTTGTTTGGCAGGCTCCTATTGGGACAGTTTTTTTTTTTTTTTTTTTTGATTAAACCCCTATAAAAGCGCCTTGCACCTGTCATTAAGGCAATACAGGACCTGTGTAACCAGTTTTTATCACTGCAGGAAGAACATGGAGGCCAGAGGTCATAACTGGATAACTGGTGTGGTTTGCTGCGAACTCATGAGAAGCACTAAAAGACACCATTCACACAAATCAGCTGCATGATTTGTTTATATGAGAATAAATTCAATATGAGCTTTATTCCTGTCACGGATAAACACTATGCTCTTTATATCTGAGGCATTATTTGAAAAGCTTGATGATCTGAGAGGACTGGATTTCACTCCACACCTGTTGTTGTTTGTTACATTGGTAACTTCTCTCTAGCTCCTTGCAACCTTGCAGTTGTTTAGATTTAGTGAATTGCAGTAAAGCTAAAGGAGCTAGTGTGTGTGTGTGCAGGGTCTCCAAATCTCATGTTAACCTTCTGCCCTTGATCCTGTATTCACCAATATGCTTGTTAAATGTGACATAATGTTTCATTTCTGGGTCCAAACTCCTAGACTCGAATGGCGGAGCCTATAATCCTCTACATCAGCGGTCCCCAACCTTTTTTGTACCACGGACCGGTTTCATGCATGAACATGGGTTCCAATAACAAAAACCTTTGTCAATTCATGTAATCTTAACTAGAGTCTATAAGACTCAAATCTTACAATTTGATGGTCTGTTTAGTTATGATAATAAATGTTTGAAAATTGATATTCGATTCCGATTATTCTTCATAAAAGAACATGCTGTACCCTGCAACAAGATGGTCCCATCTAGGGCTGATGGGAGACAATGACACATGCAATGTGTTCCTTATGTCCAGTCTGCTCCGTAATGTTGGTTGCTGTCACTGCAGAAAAGCCCACTTCACAAAGATAGGATGTTGGAAATGGTAGCAGGGTTTTCAGTGCTCTTGTGGCGATTTCAGGATGTTCTGGCTTGATTTTCACCCAGAGCATCGGCAGAGTTGTTGTCTCAAATGTACGTTTAAGGGCGGCTCCTCTTCTGGCTCCTCAGTTGGCCTTTTCCCCTTTGAAAAGAAGCCCTTCAAAGACGTTTTTTATATATACACACTGTGTGCACAATTATTAGGCAAGTGAGTATTTTGACCATATCATCATTTTATCCATAATTTCCAACTCCAAGCAGTATAAACTTGAACGCTTATTGGACTTAATGCATATCAGGTGATGTGTTTTAGTGTAGTGATCACAGAACCATCAAACATTTTATAGCAAATAGTCACCAAGGTCGCCAGAAACGTGCCGAGAAGAAAAGACGCAAATTAATCACCAGAGATTTGAGAAGAATCAAATATGAAGCTACCAGGAACCCATTATCCTCCAGTGCTGCCATATTCCACAACTGCAACCTACCTGGAGTGTCAAGAAGTACAAGGTGTTCAGTTCTCAGAGACATGGCCAAGGTAAGAAAGGCTGAAACC